AAATGGCTATTTGTAAAGTTTTTACAGGATTACAGGATTTACAGGATTAACATACTGGTTCTTTTAAAATTTTTGTGGAGTACTTTTAAAAAAGTTTGAAAGACTGAGCTCGGAGTAAAGTAAAATAAACCTTAGTATATAATAAATAATTGAATATCAGCATGTTATACTTTTAAGTTCACTACTTCGTAGTTATTTTACGTTTAAATTTTTACCCTGAGCTTCGTTTGAGGCTATTCAAGTTGAAGCCCATTCGGGCTTTCCACAAAAATTTTAAAAGAACCAACATACTTTATTACTATTCCAGTTAATTCTGGAATCCTGTCAAAATAAAAAAAGCTAAGGAATGAGGTGGCCACTTGTAAGGTTTTTACAGGATTAACATACTTTTAACTATTCCTGTTAATCCTGGAATCCTGTCAAAATGAAAAAAAGCTAAGTCGTGAATTTAATTTATTCTGCTTTTTTCAGAAGCCCTGTTTGTTCTCCGAAATATTCAGAAAACTGTTGCATAGCAGTTGCCATTTGAGCATTTTGAGTAGCTCTATAATAAGTATCTGCCAGTGTGCGCAGGGTTTGGAAGAAAAATTTATCCATTTCACCGACCTGCATCTCTGCCGTCCAAAGGTCGATACGAAAAGTGTCTTGATTTGCTTTATCGAAAAAAGCTAAAACTAAAGCCTTACATTCTTGAGGATCGCTGCCGTTTGGCGCATCGGCAGCCGACCATTCTAATTGAACAGGATATTGGTCTTTATCTAAGCCAACACGAATATTAATTTCTGAGGTTTTGACAATTTGCTCCATAATAATAAAAAACTTAAATTTTTTTGAATTAAAAAAAGAAGTGATATAGAAAAAATACAAAGTTAGAGGTGATGATAAAGCCATCTTGCTGCCATTGAAATGTATGCAAAATGGGACAAATATTTCGATATATCAAAACATTTGTCCCATTTTGTCCTCATTTCGGTATTTTACTATATAGAATACACGAAAGTTACTTTGGTATGGTAATGTGATATTTTAGTTGACTTTTAACAATTCAACTTCAAAAATGAGTGCCGAATAAGGTTTGATAGCCGCACCCGCTCCACGCTCGCCATAAGCCAAATTGTAAGGAATATATAATTTCCATTTCGAGCCTGGTTTCATGAGCTGCAACGCTTCCGTCCAGCCAGCAATTACACCATTAACAGGAAATTCTATCGGCTCGCCACGTTGAACAGAGCTATCGAAGACCGTTCCATCAATCAATGTACCATGATAATGAGTGGTTACTTTATCGGTTGCTTTAGGCGATGCGCCAGTGCCATCTTTAATTACTTCGTATTGCAAGCCACTTGGAAGTGTAATTACACCAGTGCGTTTTTTGTTATTTGCCAAAAACTGTTCACCTGCATTTTTATTGCCTTCGCCTTGCTTCATACCTTGCTCGCGCATATAGCTTTGCACTGCGAGGTTACATTGTTCGAGCGAAATGGCGGCATTTCCCTTAATCGCATCAGCCAACCCTTGAGATAAGATTGCAGCGTTCACATCGGTTAAGCCTTGTGATTTAAGATTTTGAGCGATGAGCACGCCCAGGCTGTAACTTACAGAATCCATCTTTGTTTTAAAATTTTGTGTGACGGGTAGCGTTTGAGCCTGTATGTTGGTAGAATATAAGCCAAAGAACAACCCTGTTGAAAGAAATAATGCAAAAAATTTCATTTTCGGCAAATTTAATGTAAAATTTTTATGATAATATGATAAAAAAATAAATTGTTTTTTCTTATATGAAAAATTAATCTATGTTAGATTCTAATAGCTTCATATAACGATAATTTTATTGCGAATAATATGCCATACTGTTTTTTAAATTAATATGTTGACAATTAATTAACATTTTGGGCATTGTTTTTAATTGCTGAGGATATTGGTTTTTAGAAAAAAAAGTTACAATTTGCACCCACCATTTTTCCCTCCTGTTTTTTCTCCCCCTTACGAGTAAAATATTTTTCTAATCCTCAAAATTTTCTTTTATGATGAAAATCTTCTCACCCGCACTTGTTTCGTGCCTTTTGCTGCTTATTGGCTGTAATACTATTGCTAAAAAAGGAGATTATATTGGCAGCCAATTAATTGCTGCTCCCGAAGAAGATGCCATAAAAGCCGCTGTAAATCAGGCATACGGTGCAATTAGCTTCAAACAAGGCGAAAAAGTAGATTATAAGCGTATCAAAAAATGCTTTATGCCACAAGCACAAATGTTTAACTTTAGAAATGATACGCTATCGGTGCTCAGTATTGACCAATTTGTTGAGGGCTACAAAGGTTTGGTTGAAACAAACGGGATTACGACTTTTTATGAAGAAGAAATCAAGGGCACAACAGACCAATTTGGTAGAATCGCCCAACGATTGAGCACTTACAAAACCTACATTAATAGTATGGATACCGTTGCTGAAAGAGGTGTAAATAGTTTTCAACTCATAAAAACGCCAGAAGGCTGGAAAATATCGAGTATTATTTGGGACGTGGAAACTTCAAAATTGCCCATTCCGAGTGCTTATCTTAAAACCGCATCTTTAAAATAACAATTCTTTTTTAAGATTTTTTAGGTCACAAAGGGGCTGTGTAATAAGTTATTGGTTATTAAGTTATTATGTTATTTTTAATTCATAAAAAATTGATAATTAAATCATTATATATGTAATAAATCAATAATCAATAACCTAATAACCCTTTTTACACAACCCCACAAAGTTTCACAAAGCTTTTTAAAATTATGCTTTTGAGTTCTTTGTGCTAAACGTCGTGCAACTTTGTGACCTAAGTTTTTAGAATTTAATTTTTGAGATAGATTAAAAAAATAGCTGGAAATAGTTATTTTTGGCGCAATTTAAAACGATCACAAGATGTCTTTAATTGAAGAATTTAATGAATATCGTTCGCGCATGAATGAGCGCATTTTGTCGCATGATAACAAAGTGTTGAAACGTTTTTGGAGTTTAGACAGCGCAGCCTATCAAGATGGCGCATTGTCTTCAAAAACAAAAGAACTTTTGGGCTTGGTGGCCTCGATGGTGTTGCGGTGTGATGATTGCATCAAATATCATTTAGGAAAATGCTATGAAGCGGGCGTGAATCGTGACGAAATGTTTGAGGTTTTTGCGATAGCGAATTTGGTTGGCGGTTCTATTTGTATTCCGCACACGCGCCGCGCTGTAGAATATTGGGAAGAGTTGGAGCAACAGAATAAGGCGTAAGTTGAAAGATAAAGGTTTGGATAAGTCAACAAAATGCGTAATTTTGTGTTTTAATTGACATTAAAAGTAAGTTTATAGAAGATGGAAAATCAAAATATGGCGGAGCAGTTTGTGCCAATTGGCTTAATGTTTTTGGTAGCGTTGGGTTTTGTGGTGACGACTTTGTATGCGACCCATGCGCTAGGGCCTAAAAAGAAGTCAGACATAAAAGATGATACGTTTGAGTGCGGCATCGAATCGCAAGGGAATGCGCGTACGCCGTTTTCTATCAAATATTTTTTGGTGGCTATTTTGTTTGTGCTTTTCGATGTGGAGGTTATTTTTATGTATCCTTGGGCGACTAACTTTAAGTCGTTGGGTGCGTTGGGCATGATAGAAATGTTTACTTTCATAGCGTTTTTGTTTCTCGGCTTCGTGTATATCATACGCAAGGGCGCGTTGGATTGGGAGTAATAGTTTTTAACTAATTGGTTATTAGTTATTTAAGTTTAAATAAAAGTCGAAAATGTCAAGAAATATTAATATAATAACAGACCCAGCATTGAAGCCTCATGGCATAGAGGGGCCTGGTTATATGGCGACTTCGTTTGATAAAGTGGTCGGTTTAGCGCGAAAAAATTCGCTTTGGCCCCTACCGTTTGCGACTTCTTGCTGCGGTATTGAGTTTATGGCAACTATGGCATCGCATTATGATTTGGGACGATTTGGGGCTGAACGTTTGAGTTTTTCGCCTCGTCAAGCCGATTTATTGATGGTGATGGGAACAATTTCTAAAAAGATGGGACCTATCTTACGTCAGGTGTATGAGCAAATGGCAGAGCCTAAATGGGTGCTTTCGGTGGGTGCTTGCGCGTCGAGTGGGGGCATTTTTGATACGTATAGTGTGTTGCAAGGCATTGACCGCATTATTCCTGTCGATGTATATGTGCCGGGTTGTCCGCCGCGTCCAGAGCAAATTTTAGATGGTATTTTGAAGATACAAGAATTGGTGGAAACGGAGGCGGTGCGCCGACGGGATTCGCCAGAATATAAGGCGTTGTTAACGCAATATGGGATTGAATGAAAAAATTTTGATAATCAATTCATATTAAATGGCATACAGCGATTTTACGGCATTAGAACTGGTAAAGAAATTTGGCGTAAAATTTCGGGCGGAACATCTTTTTCCCAATGTTGAAGCCTTAGAACCGACAAATTGGTTGCTTGAAGCACTAAGAAAAGGAAAAAATCTGGGTTTTGGTAGCGAAAAGTCGCGTTCAGAAAGGTTAGTTACGCCTATATTGCTGGAGTTGAGTGATAGAAATAATCATAGTTTTTCGATTTATTCGGGCATGAACTTGGACATAGACGAGAAACTGGGGTTAAAAGGAGAGTGCGATTTTGTTTTTTCTTTTAGCAGAATTCAGGATTTTATCACAGCACCCGTGTTTTGTATCACAGAGGCAAAAAAGCAAGATGTGGAACAGGGGACGATTCAGTGTGCAGCGCAGCTAATTGCGGCGAAAAAATTCAATGAATTGGAGGGCAACGAAGTCAAATTTTTATATGGTTGTTCGACTACTGGCGTGGAATGGCGTTTTTTAAAATATATTGGGCATGAAATTCTGATTGATGAGGAGCGATATTTGGTAAGTGATTTATCCAAATTGTTGGGAATTATTCAATTTATCATAACGATTTCAAAGTAAGTGATAGATATTAATTTGCTTCATAAATAGCTGTTAATCAGCTATATAGTATATAAAAGCGATGAGCGTAGAACTTTTAACTTTAGTTAAGGATAAACTAACAGAAAAATTTGGCGATAATTTGGTAAGTGCAGATATGCGTTACGATTTTCCTGTTTTCGAGCTAAAAAAGGTGGTTATTTTTGAGGCTTTGAAATTTTTGAAAGAAGATGCGGAACTTAACTTTCATTTTTTGACGACCTTGTGCGGGCTGCATTTTCCTGATAATAGAGGTAAAGAGTTGGGTATGATGTATCAACTGCATAATATGCCCAAAAATTGGCGTATTCGTATTTATACGTTTATGCCCGAAAAAGAGGTAGATGTGCCTTCTGTTACATCGCTTTGGCCTGCAGCAAACTGGTTAGAGCGCGAAACTTACGATTTTTTTGGCTTTAAATTTATTGGGCATCCTGATTTGCGCCGTATTTTGAATATGGACCAAATGAACTATCACCCTATGCTCAAGTATTACCCGCTGGAAGATGGAAGCAGACATGATAAAAATGATGCCTTTTTTGGAAGATAGACACATAAGAGATGTTGTGATATCTGAACAAGTTTAATATTATAAATTTTAGCATGAGCGAATTAATTAAGCCGAAGCCAACCATAAAGGCGCCTGACAACAAAGAATATAATATTCTGAATCTCGGACCTACTCACCCCGCAACGCATGGTATTTTTCAAAATGTGTTAAAACTTGATGGTGAAGTTATTGTTGATGCTCAACCGACTATTGGGTATATTCATCGCGCCTTTGAAAAACTTGCGGAGCGTCGCCCTTATAATCAAATTACACCGATTACCGACCGTTTGAACTATTGTTCGTCGCCGATAAATAATATGGGCTGGCACATGACAGTTGAAAAACTGATTGGTGCAGAAATACCCAAACGGGCAGAATATATGCGTGTGATTATCATGGAGTTATCTCGCATTGCCGACCATATTGTGTGCGATACAGTAATTGCAGTGGATACTGGTGCGATGACTGGGTTTTTGTATTTATTTCAAAGCCGTGAGCACATTTACGAAATTTTTGAAAATATTTGTGGCGCACGTTTGACGACCAATATTGGGCGCATCGGTGGCATGGAGAAAGAGTTTTCGCCGCATACTTGGGAGTTGTTGAATAATTTTATGAAAAATTTTCCTGACCAATTGCGCGAATTTGAAAAGATGGTGGTGCGCAACCGCATTTTTATGGATAGAACCATCAATGTTGGTGGCATTACGGCTGAGAAGGCGCTGGGCTATGGCTTTACTGGTCCTAATTTGCGCGCTGCTGGAGTGGATTATGATGTGCGTGTTGCAAATCCATATTGTAGCTATGGCGATTTTGAGTTTGACATTCCGATAGGAACGCAAGGCGATACGTATGACCGTTTTATGGTGCGCCTCGAAGAGATGTGGCAAAGTTATCGTATTATTGAGCAAGCGATAAAAAATATGCCTGACGGCAAAGTTCATGCTGATTTGCCCGAATTTTATTTGCCACCCAAACAAGACGTGTATAGCAAAATGGAAGCGTTGATTTATCACTTCAAGATTGTGATGGGCGAAACGCACGTGCCTAAAGGCGAGGTTTATCATAGTGTAGAAGGTGGTAATGGCGAGTTAGGATTTTATTTGGTGAGCGATGGCGGACGGACGCCGTATCGTTTGCAATTCCGTCGCCCGTGTTTTATTTATTATCAAGCGTATCCTGAGATGATTAAGGGTGCGATGCTTTCTGATGCGATTTTGACGATGAGTAGTATGAATGTGATTGCGGGTGAACTTGATGCGTAATTTCTAATAGCAACTTTAGGAGTTTAAAATAATATAAAGTTATCTAACTTATTGATAAATAGTGTTTTATGATTCGTTTTCAAGAAGAAATAAAATTTTCGGATAGCGCGATGGCTGAAATACAAGAAATCGTCAGCCGCTATCCAGCTGGGAAGCAGAAGTCGGCACTTTTGCCTGCGTTGCATATCGCTCAACGTGAATTTGGGGGCTGGCTGAGTGCGCCTGTGATGGATTATGTGGCAAGCATTTTAAATATAAAACCCATTGAAGTATATGAAGTTGCTTCTTTTTACACGATGTTTAACCTAAAACAACGGGGTAAATGCTTGATTGAAGTATGTCAAACCAGTTCTTGTTGGATGATGGGAGCAGAGGATATTGTGCGGCATTTGGAAAAAAGATTGGGTATCAAAAATGGAGAAACGACTCCCGATGGTATGTTTACCATTAAAACGGTAGAATGTTTGGGGGCTTGTGGCTATGCACCGATGTTTCAGGTAGGCGATTCGTTTCATGAGTTTTTGACACTTGAAAAAGTAGATAATTTATTAGATGAGTTTAGGGCAAAATATAGCAACGAATATTCAAGCTATCTTTAGATCAATACTTCGTGAATAATTTTTATTTTATTGATAATCAATTTATTATAAAATAATATTTTTATAAATTATAAAAATAAATATTGAATTAAAAGATTGTGTGTAAATGATTTATATAATTAAAATTTTATAATTTATATAAATTTCTAAAAAACTTCACGAACCATTGTAGATAAAACGATGATAAAAAATCAAAATATTCAGACAGAAATTGACGCTTGTTTTTTGTACGAAAAATTAGCAGAAAATGAAGCAGATGCTACGATTGCCAATGTTTTTCGGCAAATGAGTGACATCGAAAAAGGCCATGCTGTCGCCTTTTTAAAAAAAAATAACAAAAATAAATCAGTAAATGTATTACCTCCGCCTTCTTGGCGAGCCAAAACACTTAATTCGATAGGCAAAATTTTTGGCTATGATTATGTGTTGGGTGTGTTAATGGATACGGAAAAAAACTTGGCAGATACTGTTATTTCTACCAAAAAACAACACAATGTTGCCTTGAGCGGCAGCGAAACGAATCATGTTACGATTTTACGCTCTATTTTGGAAAGACAACCCAAAGTTTCGGGCGAAAATTTGGCGCGGTTCGAAGGGCGACATCGTTCGGTGGGTGGCAACGCGCTTCGGGCAGCAGTGATGGGCGGTAATGATGGATTAGTATCTAATTTTAGTTTAGTAATGGGCATTGCGGGTGCAAGTGCTGACCAGAAAAATGTGTTATTGACTGGTCTTGCTGGTTTGTTGGCGGGTGCGCTTTCGATGTCATTGGGCGAATGGGTTTCCGTAAAAAGTTCGCAAGAGCTGTACGAAAATCAAATGCAACTCGAAATGGACGAGCTGGAAACGAACCCAGAAGGGGAACAACGAGAATTGGAATTGATTTATATTGCAAAAGGTATTCCTAAAGCGCAAGCCGAACAAATGGCAGCCGAAGTGATGCAAACCCCAAACCATGCACACGAAGTGTTGATAAAAGAGGAATTGGGCATTAATTCGGAGGAGTTGAAAGGATCGGCATTTGAGGCAGCGGCGTATTCATTTGTGTTGTTTGCATTAGGGGCAATTATTCCTGTTCTTCCATTTTTCTTCGTTTCGGGTATGCAAGCTGTTTTGATAAGCGTGGTCGTGAGTGGGATTGGTTTATTTGGCATTGGGGCTGCAATTACGTTATTTACAGGTAAAAGTGTATGGTATTCGGGTTTTCGCCAAATGTTATTTGGTTTGGTGGCGGCAGCGATTACGTATGGCATTGGTAAGGTAATTGGGGTGCAGATAGGGTAATGTAAATGTATTGCTTCGTAGTTTTTATTCAATTTACGAAAAGTATGAAAGTTATGCTGTGCTGGAAGTTTAAAACAATAATTTTATGGAATATAAAAATATAAGTACGTTTATCGAAACTTTGGCAGAGCCACAATTAGCACTTTTTGAAACTTCGTTTGCTAAACAAAGTTTTGAAACTATTGTCGTTTCTAAAAATGAAATCCAAAAAACTCACTATCAATCTGTTACGGCAGAAGCACATACTCCGCCTTACAAAATACATAAATACTTTGCCCGCAGACCTCACAATGTTTTTTCGCAATTAATTGAAAAATTTAGTTTAGAAAATGATATTGTTCTTGATATTTTTTGCGGTGGTGGGGTTACAATTTATGAAGGATTGAGAAAAAATAGAAAAGTAATAGGTTGCGACCTTAATCCATTATCTATTTTTGTGGTAGAAAATATGGTGAAAAAGCCCCAAGAAATACAAGAATTACAATATGCTTTTCGTGAATGTGTACAGTATTTAAAAAAAATGTATGCAGATTATTATAAAAATATTGATTGGTGTGAATTGGCTTTTGAAGTGAAATGTAATTTTTGTGAAACTGAATTTTTACTTACAAATGAAAATCGTGTAAAAAATGGGTTTTATAAATGTACTAATCCTAATTGTATTTCTCATAAAGGTAAGAACAAAGGACTTGCCACAAAAGACTGCACACGAATAGGTTACAAATATTTGTTTGCTACAGGTGGTAATAAAAATAACAGAAACATATACAAAATAGAGAACGAATTAGCACAGAAATTAGACGAACATTTAGAATTTTTAAAATTAGAAATTGAGAATAATAATATTGAAATTCCAAAAGATATTATCCCAAAAGATTGGGATAGACAGTTTGAAGATGGATTAATTCAAAGGAATATTCTATACTTTCAAGATATGTTTACAAAACGTAACTTGTTGATTAACTTGCTTTTATTAGATTTTATTAAAAAATTTGAAACAAAAATTTCACGACATAATTATGAACTTTTGCGAATTACTTTTAGCAATACCGTAAAAGACACCAATATTATGTCATTTACTAATGACGGTTGGCAGTCAGGAAAACCTACAACGTGGTCAAAACACGCTTATTGGATACCTAATCAATTTTGCGAAGTAAATATTTTAGATATTTTTGAAAATGCTATCACAAAAATAAATGCAAGTTTGGCTTTCAATGCAAAACAAAGATATACAGTAAAAAGAAGTGAAAATTTTGAGGGTTTGACTGAAAATAATCTTTTGCTTTTTAATAACTCGGTTGCAAATACAGAAATACCTGCCAATTCAATAGATGCTATCATTACAGACCCTCCTTACGGTAGCAATGTTCAATATCTGGAATTATCGCATTTTTGGTATGTTTGGAATAAAGATTTGTATAAAAATGAAGCACCTGATTTTTCACAAGAAGCGGTAGCAAACCGTAAAAAAGGTTTTAAAGGGGCAAAATCTATGTATGATTATGAAAATAATTTGTATAAGGTTTTTGCTAAAAGTTATGAAGTTTTAAAACCTGAAAAATATATGGTAATGACCTTTAATAACAAAGACATTAGTGCTTGGCTTTCTTTGCTATTTTCGGTTTTTAAAGCAGGTTTTACTTTGGAGGAAAATGGTTTATATTTTCAGGATGGTGTAGAAAATTATAAACAAACTGCACATACAAAATCAGAAGGTTCACCTTATGGTGATTTTATCTATGTTTTCAAAAAAACTAAAAAAGAAGTTGAAAATATTTACACCTCTGAAATTCAATTTATACAAGATTTAGATAATCTTTTCAAATCTTATATTCATCAAGAAGCGGAAGATAGAAATTCACTTATCAAAGAAATGTTTTTAAATGCTATCCCTTTGATAGAATGTTTTGCAACAACGTATCTTGTTGATAATCAACATAATTTATATTCATTTTTTAAGAAAGATTATTTAGAAAAATTGTATTAATGGCACGAATTAGCGAGGAAAAAATCATCGGCAACCAAGAAAAATTTGATGAATATTTTTCTGATTATGAGAAAATTATTGATAATCTACAAACAAAGTTTACCACTTCTGAAAATCTTGATTTTGCTAATTTAGTTAATTTTAAAGCTAATAAATCCATCCCAAAACACAAATGGTTTGAGTATAAACAAGGCTATGCAGAAGAATTGGTAAAATCAATTGAGTGCATGACAAATTTGGGGAAAAGAAATATGAAATTAAGTTTGCAGACAAGAAGTTCAAGAGCATTGCCGCTTTCTGACAAACTGCATGAACTGATTGGTATGGCGATTATGCTTGACCGCCCTAGCATCTAAGACATCTTGTGCGCCCTGTGACGACCACCGCATACCTGTTTGCTCCATACGTTCTTTGACTAAGTGTCCGCAGGCAGCCTCCACTAATGCAGAACTGACAGGGTATCCTTTGTCAATAAATTTTTTGTAATCCATTTTATGCTGATGATTTTCAAAATAAGTCATTGTTTTTAGAATTTGTTTTACTTTATATTCCGATAATGCATTGGATTGCACCAATTCCTTAAGTTGAGTAAGGACTTGTTGGGTTTTACTATCCAACAAATCGTCCAATATTTTTTTGACAAAAGGTAACTTTTTAGCGGATTTTTCGCCATAAATAGCCGTTGCAGCTGACCATGCATACTCACTTACATGAATAATATCTAAAATAATGCCATCAAACTNTTCGCGATTTCTTCTCGTAATTTCTCGCCAATTAAATTTTCTGTTGTACCTTGCATCGAGTTTTAAGTGATAGGTTTTGATTCTCGTAAATTCAAATTTACCTTTTTTACTTAAAACTCTTTTTTTTCGTATTATATTTCCCCAAATTTGTCACGCACTCAAATCAATTATTGAAAAAGAAAAACCAAAGAAATCAAAATTTATTTTAGACCCATTTTGTGGTGTAGGAACTACTAATTTAGTTGCACAAACATTAGGTTATAAAAGCATTGGTTTTGACATTAATCCTGTGGCTTATTTGGCGAGCAAGGTAAAGACTTATTTTTATACAGACGAGGAAATTCAAGAAATAAACTACTTTATTAATAATTTTAATACTTCTGAAAAAGCAGTTTTTGATGAGAAAGTAAAAGTTATAGAAAGTTCTTTTTTGCAGAATTGAATGAGAAATTTGGCACAAGTTTTACACAGACAGATATTTGGTCAAAGAAAACAACTATTTATAATCAATTTATTTATTTTCGTAATCATTTATCTATTTTTCAAGAATTTATCACAGCAGATGATATAATTTCTATTACAAACCAAACAAAAGCAAGGAACGAATTAGCAAAGGATAATAAATTAGAATTTGAGAAAGATAAAACTAATTTGCTTACAAAATACGTGCAACCATTTTTAAGTTTGGTTGTTTTTGGTTTGTAAGCATATCCAAGTTTAAAGCAAAATTTGAGATGATAGAGCCATTTTTGAATAAAATACATCAAGGAGATTGTTTGGATTTGTTAAAACAAATTCCCGATAATTCTGTGGATATGACTTTTGCAGACCCACCCTTTAACCTCAAAAAAGGCTATAAATCTTACAAGGATAGTTTGGCTTTGCACGAGTATTTAGAATGGTGCGAAGCGTGGATTTTGGAAATGGTGCGAATTATAAAGCCTACAGGCTCAATTTATCTGCATAATATTCCGAAGTGGCTTACCTATTATTCAGGCTTTTTGAATAAAGTTGCAGACTTTAAACATTGGATTTCTTGGGACGCACCCACTATGCCAATGGGCAAAACTTTGCAACCTAATCATTACGGAATTTTATTTTATGCTAAAAATATCAAAGAATTAAAATTTTATGAAGTTCGTTATCCGCACAAAAAAGATAGAAAAACCAATTTTTTGTCTAAAGACTATGGAGGTAAAAAAGCAGGACTGCATCCTTTTGGCTCTTTGATTTCAGATGTTTGGACAGATATTCACCGGGTAAAGCACAACAAATACCGAGATGAACACCCTTGTCGTTACCTGTTCATTTATTGGAAAGAGTAATTTTGATGAGTACGGACGAAAATGATGTTGTTCTTGATCCTTTTAACGGAACAGGGACGACAGCCATTGCTGCAAAAAGATTAGGCAGATAATATATTGGTTTCGAGTTAGATAGCGAATATGTAGAAATTACGAGAAATAAATTAGAACAAGAAAAAAACAATTCAAAATTGGGCAATTGTTGGGTAAGTTTTTATTTAGATAAAATTGTAACTTTGCGTGATTGTGATTGGGATAATTTGAAGGAGTTCTTTTTTATTCCTGATAAGCCTGAAGATATAGACCAAATTCCTATTGTTTTAAAGTCAAAGGTTGCCATTTCATCGCCTTTAAAGAATAGTTATCAAATAGACACCAATGAACTTAGTCTATTCGAAAGTGAAATCGTTTACCCTCTAAATGGAGCGCAAACGACAAAATGAATAAAGTAAAAATTTAAAATAAAAATTATGAGCAGAAAACTGCTGCTAGAGAAAGAGCATATTGCTGGTATCCAAACGTATGAAGTGTATCGGCGCGAAGGCGGTTATTCCGTCGCAGAAAAGGCATTGAAAGAAATCCCGCCTGCGCAAATTGTAGAAGAAGTAAAGGCTTCGGGTTTGCGTGGTCGAGGTGGTGCGGGTTTTCCGACTGGTATGAAATGGTCATTTTTGGCGAAGCCGGAAGGTGTACCGCGTTATATCGTTTGTAATGCTGATGAATCGGAGCCAGGGACGTTCAAAGACCGTTATTTGATGGAGAAAATCCCTCATTTACTTGCAGAAGGAATGTTGATTTCGGGTTTTGCGTTAGGAGCTAATCAGGGTTATATTTATATACGAGGGGAATATGCGTATGTTTATAAAATTATGGAACGCGCCATTCGGGAAGCTTACGCCGCAGGTTGGCTCGGAAAAAATATACAAGGCACAGGTGTCAATTTTGATTTGAGTATGCAAATTGGTGGTGGTGCATATATTTGTGGCGAAGAAACTGCATTGTTGGAAAGTTTGGAAGGCAAGCGTGGTAACCCACGCATTAAGCCGCCATTTCCTGCGGTTGCTGGTTTGTGGGGCTGCCCAACGGTGGTAAATAATGTGGAAACGATTGCAGCAGTTGTGCCAATTGTGCAAATGACTGGTGCAGAGTATGCCAAAATTGGTATTGGAAGAAGTACTGGTACGAAATTGATTTCTGCAAGCGGACACATCAATAAGCCGGGCGTATATGAAATTGAGCTTGGCGTTCCTGTCGAAGAGTTTATTTATAGCGACCAATATTGCGGTGGCATCAAAGGCGGGCGCGAGTTGAAAGCAGTAGTTGCGGGAGGTTCGTCAGTGCCTATTTTGCCTAAACATCATATCTTAAAATTAGCAAATGGCGAGCCGCGTTTGATGAGTTATGAAAGCCTTGCCGATGGTGGTTTTGCTACGGGAACGATGCTGGGTTCAGGTGGATTTATTGTGATGGACGAAAGTACAAGTATTCCAAAAAATTTGTTGACATTCGCGCGATTCTATCATCACGAAAGTTGTGGGCAGTGTAGCCCTTGCCGCGAAGGAACTGGCTGGATGGAGAAAATTTTGAAAAAAATTGTTTCTGGACATGGTAGCATAGGTGATATAGATTTGCTTTGGGATATTCAATCCAAAATTGAAGGCAAGACCATTTGTCCGTTAGGTGATGCTGCAGCTTGGCCCATAGCGAGTGCAATACGACATTTTAGGTCAGAATTTGAGGAATATATCAAAAATCCGAATAAAATTGAAGACGTAAAGCATTATTATCGGTTGAGAGGCGAGGTTATGGCTTAAATTTTGCGCAAATGCTATCAGTTTAATATCAAAGAAATATGAAAAATGGCATACAGCAAATATAACACTTTACAAAAGGTACAATCTCAATTAGGTTTAACGATTGAGCGAGGTATTTTTTTTTCGGATAAAGACATAGAGTTAATAACCCCCAGTATTTGGTTGTTAGAAAGTTTTAGACGGGCACAAATGTTAGGTTACGACTCTGAGAAAGAACGTTCAGAACGAATTGTTGCCCCAATTTTGTCCGAATTAGTCGCGCTCAATGAAAATCAATTAACCATCTACTCTGGTCACGAACTCAATGTAGATAAAGCGTTGGGATTGGTGGGCGAATGTGATTTTCTGATAGCTTTAGGCCAAAGAGTAATTCAATTGGTTCAAACTCCTTTGTTTAGCGTAGTTGAGGCAAAACGGCAAGATTTAAGCTGGGGAACAGCACAATGTGCGGCACAGATGGTAGGCGCGATAAAATATAACGAGAAAGCAGGTATGATACTGCCTTATATGTATGGTGCAACCACAGATGGCGTTAAGTGGAATTTCTTGAAACTTGAAAATAACACGTTGACAATTGACCAAACTGACGTGCTGTTTCAAGATATGCCAAAATTATTAGGTATTTTACAATTTTTGCTCAATGATATGAAAAAAATTTAAAATTTAAGTACTGTTTTTTACGATTAAAAAATGGTAAAAAAACATTATTGTAAATGCAGAAAAATACATGGATAGCAATGTTTTCTTATCTTTGACACCTCATTATTATTAAAAAAATAAATAGTAATTATATGCCGATAGTAACCATAGACGACGTTTCGATTGAAGTGCCACAAGGAACGACTATTTTACAGGCTGCTCGCATGATTGGCGGCGAACTCGTGCCACCCGCGATGTGCTATTATTCCAAACTCAAAACCAGCGGCGGCTATTGTCGTACTTGCATTGTCAAGGTCGAGGCTGGCTCGGCACGCGACCCACGCCCAATGCCTAAGCCTGTGGCTTCGTGCCGAACTGAAGTGCAAGATGGTATGGTTGTGCGAAATATTACTTCACCCGAAGTGCTGGAAGCGCGCGCTGGTGTTGTGGAATTTTTGTTATTAAATCATCCTTTAGATTGCCCTGTGTGCGACCAAGCAGGCGAATGTCATCTCCAAGACCTTGCCTACGAAAACGGCAAAGCAGGCACTCGCTACGAATTTGAACGCCGTACTTTTGAAAAAATAGATATTGGCGACCATATAAAATTGCACATGACGCGTTGCATTATGTGTTTTCGTTGCGTAAAAGTAGCTGACCAATTGACAGATGGGCGCGTACATGGTATGTTGAATCGTGGTGATGTTTCTGAAATTAGCACTTATATCGAAAAAGCAATTGACAATGAATTTTCGGGAAATATGATTGATGTTTGTCCTGTAGGTGCATTAACGGACAAAACATTTCGTTTTAAAAGCCGCGTATGGTTTACTAAGCCCGTTGATGCACATCGAGATTGCCCAAAATGTAGTGGAAAAGTGCGACTTTGGTATGTTGGAGAAGACATTGCTCGCGTAACAGCGCGAAAAGACACCTATGGCGAAGCCATTGACTGGATATGTAATGATTGCCGTTTTGAAAAAAAGAAAACCAGTGATTGGGTCATTGGCGGTCCAGCAGAAGTAAATCCTCATTCTGTCATTTCGGCAGGGCATTATAATTATGCAGGGCTCAAACAAATGCAGTTGGAAACGCGTGTGCAACAGCAGCGTTTATTAAATGGCAAACCGCATGGAGAAAAGGTGGGTTTAGGCGAGGGCGCATTGAACCCGAACAATATTTAGGAGAATGGTACAAAATACAGCCTATAAAGCGAGAAAGAAGCAAGGACTTAGTTTGTCGGAAATTCACAAAAAATTTCCGAATATGGGCAAAGTTTGGCTTTATGCTTCAAAAGATGATTATAAATATGAGTGGAATTGTGGCGTAGTTGAAAAACAAGAACGAATGACAGAAAAAGAACTATATATTGTTCAAAATTTGCGCGAAGCCTTCGAAAAAACACAAGCGTATAAAGATAAAGGTACATTTGAAGCCGAGTTTAAAGTCATTTTTTCACCCGAAATCATGCGAATACCTGACATCGCTTTTTATACGGCGGCACAAGTAAGAGACGCAAAGGAAGAAAAACATCCCGTTCCTGCCTTTGTAATAGAAATCATTTCTACTAATGACAAAATTAATGACGTAGAAAATAAAGTTGAGGAATATTTTTTCTATGGTGTGCAAGTGATTTGGCATATTTTTCCAACACTAAAAAAAGTGCATATTTTAAAAAAAGATACTGCTACCGTCGAAATAAAACGCAATCAAGATATTTGTTCGGCTGCGCCAATTATGCCCGATTTTAAAATTGTAGTAAAAGAACTTTTAGATTAAAATCTGTAATAAAAAAAACATTATGTTAACTGGCTTTTTGTTATACAAATTATTATTAGTTGTAGTGATATTTGCCGTTTCTTTGGGCATTGCTGCTTATTCGACTTATGCCGAGCGCAAAGTGGCTGCTTTTATGCAAGACCGTATTGGGCCTGACCGCGCGGGACCTGCTGGAGTTTTCCAGCCTTTAGCCGATGGCTTAAAAATGATTATGAAAGAGGAAATTGTGCCAGAAACTTCTAATCATTGGCTTTTTATTATGGGGCCTGGGCTGGCTATGATGACAGCTTTGATGACAGGCGTGGTTATCCCATGGGGCAGTCCGCTCAATTTTGGTGGTGTAGAATATCCTTTGCAAATTTCGGACATTAATATTGGCATTTTATATGTTTTTGGCGTTGTTTCCATTGGCGTTTATGGCATTATGATTGGTGGTTGGGCTTCTAATAATAAATATTCATTGCTTGGTGCGCTTCGGGCGAGTTCTCAGATGATTAGCTACGAGGTAGCGATGGGTATGGCGATTATTGCGATTATTATGATGACAGGTTCGTTGAGTGTGCGTGAAATCGTAGAACAACAATCAGGCAGCCTTTTTAATTGGAACATATTTTATCAGCCGTTGGGGTTTTTGATTTTTTTGACGTGTGCGTTTGCCGAAACCAATCGTGCGCCATTTGATTTGCCAGAATGTGAAACAGAATTGGTGGGCGGTTATCATACCGAATATTCTTCGATGAAATTGGGTTTTTACCTTTTTGCGGAGTATATTAATATGTTTATCTCGTCGGCGATTATTTCCTGCATTTATTTTGGTGGCTATAACATTCCTTGGGCAGAGCAAATGGGGCTTTCGGGCAATTTATTGTCTATTTTACAAGTATGTTTTTTCTTTGCAAAAGTTTTCTTTTTCATTTTCTTTTATATGTGGGTACGTTGGACGCTTCCGCGCTTCCGCTATGACCAGTTGATGAATTTAGGCTGGAAAATATTATTGCCATTATCATTGTTAAACATTGTATTGACAGGTGTTGTGATGTGGATTTTTGGGAAAGTGGGGTAAGTAATCAATATTTTAAAATCCTAAAAAAGATCTGAAATAACAAATAACGATGAAAAAATATGTTGATACAATTTTAATATTGATTTTTATATTTTTTCTAAAAATTGATATACAAGGTCAAGTTACGGTTTCATCTGCTAAATCTTTTAGTCATAATGGTGCTGATTATGCCAATCGTTTTAATTTTAAAGCAGAAGATGACGAAAAAATTATAGCAAATGGTTGGTTTTATGTAACTTCTGTCAAAAAAAGTGATAAAAGTTGTATTGTGCGAATATTTTATCCAGAAACTAAAGTAATGACTCAATTAGTTACCTTTAAAGATAAAAGATCTGATATAAAACAAGGTCGTTATGAACTATATCAAGATAATGGTTTGTTAATGGAAGAAGGTAGTTATGACAAAAATAAAAAGGTAGAGACATGGAAATATTATGTTTATGATGCTAAGAAGAGGCTCATTGAGAGTGCTACATCTGATGGCGAAAACTTACAAGTTTCTATAAAAAAAGATTCTTTAGGAAATGTAATTAGGACAACCCGATATACTGCACAAAGTGATGGCGAATATGCGGTGGAGGTAAAGAATAAAAATCAAAAAATAATAGAAAAAGGACTCGTTATCAATAAGATGAATGAAGGTACATGGATAGAATATGATTCTCTGGGCAGCATTTTTTCAAAAACTTACTACAAAAAAAATGACAAAATAAAGGAGGAATTTTATAAAAATGGCAATTTGTCTTGTACTATGATTTTTGCTGACAGTAAATTAAAACAATCATCGAATACAAATTTAAACAAACCTTTGGAAAGGCAAGGCGAATGTGAGCAATATGACGAAATTCCGCCCGAATTTCCTGAGAAAGGAATGAAAAGTTTATTGGATTTTTTAGTTAAAAATATACATTATCCACCAGATGCTCGAATGAATGGGCTAGAAGGGAAAGTTGTTGTGAAATTTATAATAAACAAACAAGGTTATGCTACACAACCATATATTGTGCATGGACTTTGTCAGTCTATTAAAGAGGCATGTATTAAACTTGTTAAGGATATGCCACGCTGGAAGCCGGGTATTCAAAAAGGAAAGCCTGTTGATGTGCAGTTTACAATGCCTATACACCTTCGGATAGAATAAATGGTTAAAAATAGGACTAATTTAGTTCCGCATTTTTCAATATATTTAGAAATATTATTGTGAAAAATAATAGATAAATTTGGGCATCAAAAATATCCAAATATCTTCAATTTAAGATAAAATATGCAACTGACAAATCGTTCGAAACTTGCGGTCAATAAAGAAATGACCCTTTCCGAAAAAATATATTTGCCTGCCATTTTGGGCGGCATGGCAATCACGCTAAAACACTTTTTTAAAAAAGGTGCAACTATCAAATATCCTGAGCAAAAACGCGAAATCGCCCCAGTTTATCGTGGACAACACACCTTGAAACGCGATGAAAATGGCGCAGAACGCTGTACGGCTTGTGGGCTTTGTGCCGTAGCCTGTCCTGCCGAAGCGATTACGATGGTCGCCGAAGAACGCAAAAAGGGCGAAGAAACCCTTTATCGGGAAGAAAAATACGCCGCAATTTATGAGATTAATATGTTGCGTTGTATTTTTTGCGGACTTTGCGAAGATGCCTGCCCTAAAGAAGCTATCTTTTTGACGGATAGAATGGTGCCTACCAGCTTTGAGCGCAATGATTTTGTGTATGGCAAAGACAAATTGGTAGAACCTATTGGTGCACGTATTGATGTGACAAAACGCCAGACGAAAGATGTCGCTGCTTTTAAAAATGACCACCATGTTTATCATAATATGACGTTTAAAGACGAAAAATATAGGCAAGCCCAAGCGGGGAAAGTAAAAAGTGATGACGGGCATTAAAATAAAACAATTTGATGCTATAAAAGCAAAACTATCTTAGAACTAAAAGGCTGGCGGTTTGCCCAGCCTTTTAGTTTTTTAACTATTCTCCTTCCACTACTTTTATCTCTGCCTCCGTCAAGCCATACAAACCATACACAATTTTATTGATACTCGCTTCGGCTTCCGATATGCTTTTTGTGCATTTTTCTACATCACGCGGAAGTACCGCCTGAGCAAGCTGCTCTTTTTGCAATAATATATTTTCTACTAATTTTACGATTTCATCGTGTGCCACTTTTTCATTTTTTTCTGAAAAATTGATGCGCTTTATCGGAATTTGTTCTAAATAAGGAATATCAAAGCGCAAATAACCGCCTGCCATGTGTGTATTTTCGAAAGTCGTTTTATAAAAATAATTAGACAAAGTTGAATTCAAAATACCAAGCAAAAAATACGCATTTACATTTAACCCCGTTAATAAAGATGATTTTCCTAAAAAATATCGCTCATTATCATACGCTGCTTGTATTTTTTTAGTTACTCTTGCTATCACAATTTTATCTTTCGCAAATTCTTGAATTACTTTGTCTGAATAGATAGATTTATCAATGTATTCTTGCTGCCAAGCAATGAAATAAGACTTGATATCAGCCGTTTGTATGACTTTTTGATATTTTTCTTTATCATTATTGCTTAATTTTTCATATTCACTTTTAGAAATTTTGTGACTTTTAAATCCCGTAATTGAAGTTCCCCAAATAAATTTATCGCATAAATCTTTGAGTTTAATTGTATTTTTTTCTATTTTTTCTATCAATTCTAAATTTGAGCTTGAAAAAGACGTAGAAATTACGAATTGTTTTTTAGAATTATTTAAGATTTTTTGCTCAACGGGTTTAAAATTGGCATCATAAAAATCTTGCATAGTACTGGGATAGCCAATGTTAATTTTAGTATTTTCATCTGTTTCTTTTTCAAAGAATAACAAAATGGGATAGGTTGCTACATTTCCGAATACTTTTAGCTTTGATACATCATTTAGTTCATAAATTTTTGTATTTTCTAATAAAAATTTACGCAAATTAATGCCAAAATTTGATGATAAAAACGCATTTGGTATGATAAAACCGAATAAACCATTTGTTTTCAAAATATTATAGCCATGTTCTATAAAAGGAATATATAAACTCCATTTTTCTGCCACTTGGGTAGAATAGAATTTTGTCTGTATATACTGTACCTGTTCTCCAGAAATAAGCCTATAATCAACATAAGGTGGATTTCCAATAATGACATCAAAACCGCCATTTTCAAAGACTTTTTTAAACTCTCGAATCCAATCTTTGGCTTTCAGTTCGTCGGCATCTTTTTTAGAAATGCCCAAAATTTTGGTCACATCTTCGCCAATCAAAGAATTGAAAGATTGAATATTTCGGTTGAGGTTGGGCAGGGCTTTTTCCTTAAATTCAAGTTCATTTTTTAGGGTGGTGTCGGTTTCGTCTTCGAGCATTTTGAGCATAAGGCTCAGTTTAGAGATTTCGACGGCACGTTCATCTAAATCCACACCAAAAATATTATTATTTAAGATGCGTTTTTTTTCTTGTGTGGAGAGTTTTTTGCCATCGGTTGTAAGACGATGTACAAGGTCGAAATCTGTATTTTTTTTCTTATCGCGTTTTATTTTTCTATAAAAATGCAAATGCCAATCCAATAAATATTGATATGCGCCGAGCAAAAACGAACCCGAGCCACAAGCAGGGTCGCAAATTTTGAGTTTAGAAATATCATCAATAATGGTTTTAGGAGCTTTACGAACGGTAGCAAGTTCAGCGATTTTTTTGCCTACGGTGTTTTCTACAATATAATTGACGATATATTGAGGCGTATAATAAACGCCACCCGCTTTGCGCACTTCGGGTTTTGCCTCTACGGTTAGTTTTTTGCTTTGAATATTGATTTCATTGCCCAAAAACTGTTCGTAGGCATTTCCGATAATTTCGACGGGAATTACACCAAACAAATAATTGCTATGGGGCGGATAAAGCTCTTGAAAAATCGTGTTGAGCGTGGCATCGTCAATGGTTAAATTCATGGAAATGCTATCTTGCTCGATAAAATCAAATAAACCCGAGTTGTATTTTAGGTCAGCTTGGCGATAATAAGATTTCAAAAGTTGGTAGGTATCCACCTGCCCAACAAAGTCGAATAAACGCCCGAAACGCTCAATATTGCGAGATTCGCAAATGCGGAGAAACAAAATGCGGTCGATAAATTGCTGCACCGCAAAATTGAGTTGTTCGGAAGATAGGCGTGGATTATTGCGATAGATGCTTTGAGCCACCAGATTACGCCATTTTTCTAAAGATTGCAAAAAACGTTTATCAACAGTGATACTACCTTTGGTCAATCTATCAGATTTTGCGAGGCTATCAAGGCTACCTTTTAAGACATTTTCGCGGGAAAAATTATCCCAAATAAACTCAAAATTGTCTTGTTGAAGATATTCGTGATGTTTTTTATAAAAAATGCGACCTATTTGCGGAGCATCGTCTTTTTTAGGTTCTAAGGCACAGTTATAAACTGCAAACTCCTCAAAATCAGAGAGTACAGAGATAGCCAGTGGTTTATTCCAGCCGTAAAGACGGAGTTGAAAAGCGGCGGCTTTGTCTGTATCGAGGTTGACAGAAGGTTTTTTAGCTTCCAAAAAAAAGTGCATCATATATTTATGATTATCCACAATGCCGAAGGAATAATCAGGTTTTTTGAATTTGCCTTCAATTTTAAGTTTATCTTGTGGGCGCACTTCTTGGAGGTCGGGCGGCAATGCAGGGTCAAAAAAAGTCCACCCTAAACCTTCAAACATAGGCATGAGAAATTGAGTAACAGTAGCTTCTTCATTATAGTCAGCTTTAAGTTTTTTTTCATGTTTGGAGAAATAGTCTGAGCGGTCAGCAATAATTTTTTTGGCTTTATCTTTTTGTGTCATACGAAATAGATTTGTTTTGTGGCGCAATTATACGAAAAAATGGGAAAAATGATGCAAGAAATTTGGAACGGCTGAGTTTTGCGTGGCGATAAATTTTGAATAAAAAAAACTTAACGATGCAAAAAATAAGTTTAAGGATGTTAGATGCAAATTTTTTTTATTTAAAAACTTGCATTTTTCCTAAAAATCCCTTTATCTTTGGCGCATTAAAGTTTTAAAAATTATGTTTTCTACAAATCAAAATTGGTGGTGGCACGTTTCTTACTTCTGTGAGTGAGCGAGTTCCCCTATTGATTTGTTTTTTATGCAAAAAATATATTCAAGCGGTTTGTCGAATTTCACTCGGCAAGCCGCTTTTTTATTAAAATTAATCACTAAAAATGAGTAATCAACCTGTTTTAAAACAAAATTTGGCACAAAAAGTCATCGAAACGGTGCACGAATTGGAGATGAATGAAAAAAGTGCCAAAACTCGGCTTCATGTATTTGCTCGTCGACAATTAGCAGATACGGTCACTCCAGTTAGTATTTATCTTAAAATACGCGACCATTTTGGCAGTGGTTCGGCTTTGTTGGAAAGTACGGATTTTAAAAGCGTTGAAAACTGTTTTTCTTACATCGTGCTCGACCCTATTTCCACGTTTCAAGCAACAGGAAATAATGTTACCCAAATAGCCTTTGATGGCACAAAAACAGTACAAAATATCCCAGACGCACTACAAATTGGTAGAATGTTGAACGATTTTGTCCAATCTTTTGAGCCTGTGCTACATACCGATTTACCTGTTTTTAACGGCATTTTTGGGCATGCTGCATTCGATGCTGTTCGTTATTTTGACACGCTACAATTTGATGACACAAAGCGCACGCTCGATATTCCAAGCCTAAATTATAGCCTTTATCGTTATATTATTGCGATAAATCACTTTAAAGACGAACTTTTTATCATTCAAAACGTGTTGGAAGACGAAAAACCAGATTTTGAAAAAATTGAAAGTTTATTAAAAAATCAAAGTTTTGGCACGTATAATTTTGAATTGGTGAGCGAGGAACAGTCTAATATGCCCGACGAAGGTTATAAAGAACTTGTGCGCTTGGGCAAATATCATTGTCAAATTGGGGATATTTTTCAAATTGTGCCATCGCGCCGTTTTTGGAGAAATTTTAAAGGAGATGATTTTAATGTATATAGAGTGTTGAGGTCGATTAATCCATCGCCCTATTTGTTTTATTTTGATTTCGGAAATTATAAAATTTTTGGCTCAAGCCCTGAAAGTCAGATAGTTATAAAAGATAAAGTGGCAAGTATTCACCCCATCGCTGGCACTTATCGGCGCACAGGCAATGATGACGAAGACCGCCGCCGAGCCGAAGAGCTGACCAAAGACCCTAAAGAAAACGCTGAACATATTATGCTTGTTGACCTTGCGCGCAATGATTTGGGGCGGCATGCCAATCAAATTCGCGTAAGTGAATATCGAGAAGTGCATTTTTACAGCCATGTTATCCATTTGGTATCAAAAGTGGAAGGAAATTTAGATGAAAACGCGGATTCGGTGCAAATTTTCGGCGATACTTTCCCTGCTGGCACACTCTCGGGCGCGCCCAAATACAAGGCGATTGAGTTGATAAATCAGTATGAAAATTGCAATCGAGCATTTTATGGTGGGGCGATTGGTTTTATCGGTTTTAATGGCGATATGAATCAAGCTATCACGATTCGCACGTTTTTAAGCAAAGATAATACGCTTTATTATCAGGCAGGTGGTGGTATTGTGGCTGCCAGCGACGAAGAAAGCGAATTGCAAGAAGTAAATAATAAATTGGGCGCACTCAAAAAAGCGTTGATTGAGGCGGAAAAAATTTAGTAAAATGATCATTGAAAATAGTACAATAAACGACCTTGATACCATTTTTAGCCTTTATGACGATGCCATAGCGCATCAAA